GGGGGGGGGGGGGGGGGCTTGTACGTTAAAGACTGATGTGTAAATACGGACCGCATTCGAGAGAAATGTAGTTAATGAGGGCATAGAACAAGAGGAGGTTACGCAGACCCTATGTCCCTAATCCTACCCCAACTGCCTCGACTGCATGCTGTATCCAACATGTGTACTTCAAAGAAAAACCCTGCGAAGGCTATTGTATCGAAAAATACCTGATTGCCCAGGCAAGCTATGTCCAGAGGGCTACACTGCCGTTCGTCCCACGATAGCACGTCAGCGCCGTTCTGGATAGGAACTCGCAGCACCTAACATGTAGCCAGGATAGCAGGAAAAAAAAATGGAACATACAAAACAAGACGCATTCGCGAAACAGATATACATTTACTGGAACTAGCACGCGCTACTTTCACCCACGTTGCTCTGGTTGCTCTCTCTGCGGCGTAAGCTGCACCATCTTTACTGACACGGCCTGCTGATACACGCCGATCGCCCAGCATGAGTCTTGTCTCCATCCTCCCAGAGATGGTGATTCTGTTGGTTCTCAATACAGACCCCGCCCACATGTGACAGGTGGGTATACTGCAGGTGGCTGAGGTCTGCAAATCGTCCGAACAGGTTCAGCACATCGGGGAGGATTTAATGACAAGATTCATGCTGGCAGGCCGTGTCGTTGAAGATGGTGAGCTCACGCAGAGAGCAACCGCCGGAGCAAAGCACGTGGGTGAACAACAAACAAAATAGACACGTTCGCGACTACGACGGACGATGAGTTAGCCACCTTCGAGTGATGAGGACCAAGGCAACAGAAAGGCAGTCACAACAACCACCAGAGCACAGGTTAACCACACCAACAGTGGACAGGTTTGGTGGGTGGGAGGCCGTCAAGGCTAGAAAGAGGCACCGCACCGTCAACAAAACACGGTACATGGTACCAGTTACGCAGCAAGCGGGGCCGGAGGTACGAACGCTTGGAGGGGAACAAGCGCGAACCGTGCGGCGGAGTTGTTGTGATGGGTCTCACCTTCCAAAACCAGTCCCGGTATCCGCTCAATACCTCCAAATTTCCGTCCTGGTCCACCAGACGCGGACGCCTTCCGTGGTCACAGACCACCTAGGGCACACAATCCTAGGAAATCAAAGAATGCAAAATGCAATGTGGGGAGTGTACTATCAAGTCTCCCTGGCTCTTCTTTCTCACCCCAATTGCACAGTTGCCGCGGCGTAGTGCAGGGCTGTCCTGTGCTGATCGTCGGGGTTCGTCGATCGTGAACCCCTTATCAACAACGAACGTTCCGCCGAAGAGCGCAGGCAGCAAAGCACACGGCTCACACACACACTTGAGACTGACAGTTTTTCAATCGTCAGCGGTGTTGTAGCCCGGTCGATCCCTACAACTACAAAAACAAACAAACACAAAACTATTCAGCACACAGAAGAGAGACTCTGGACTTGTGTGCCGGACACCGCACCGTTTCGTTACAAAAAAAAGCCAAACCATGACGAGGACAGCAAAAAACATATCATTAAGACACGCGGCCACGTCCGAAACCCTTGCAGGCAGCAGGCGGACGATTGTCGCAACAACAAGTGGAATAATACAAGCACACAAACGACAGAGAGACAAGCCACCACTTTCGAAAACCTACGGACAGCAAGCAGGATAGTGCACACACACCACGGGCCGACTCCTCGTATGTCATCGCGGGCCAGCGCCCCAACGGCTCCGTCGAGAACATGGCTTGATATGTTTCAGTGGTAGCTTAGGGGTGCCACCTACAGGCCACACAGGCATACCTCCCGTAGCAAAGAGAGAAATGAAAAGAAACAATGGGTTTATTGTTTCATTCTTAATTTACCTGGTGTGTTAGGAGCGCCGAAAGAGGTCACAGAGGCAACACTCCCGTAACAACAAAAAGAACATCTGGAATAAAAAATATCGATACTTTTTCGGTCTTTACTAGAGTATGTTAGCGGTGCCAAAATCAAAATAAGCCGTAAACGCTACTGCTGCCTGTCAGCCTGTCTCACCATGGGCCAAAGCCTCGACGGCTCCCGCCAGATCCCCCAACACCGCGCACTCCGACAGCCGCAACGACCACATCTCCGCCCGGCCCCCCCTCGCCGTAGCCGCTCCCGCCCGTCGAGTCCCCGTCCACCCCGCCGCCGTCCCCGCTAGATCGCCGGTTATGGCTGCTGCCGCCGCCACCGCCTACTTCGGAGCTACTGTGGTCTCCTTCTCCCCCTCGCGTCGCGCCCCAGCCCTCGCTCGCCACAAGCCGGCTCGTGGACCCCTCTACAAAACGTTTCCAGACGTATTTGGCCTGGAGAGCAGCAGTAGTGTGTGCCACCGCGCATCGGCCATGCAACGCACGGCAGGAGAAGAACAGAACGGCCGGTGGGGCGGGAAGGGGGACATCTTGTTCGGTGTGGGGGATCAGGTAGTGTAGTTATGGCGTGGAAATATCGCCGCACAACTGAATCGCCATCACAGGGTACTTTCCAAGTGTTACGGTAGCGACCGACCGACCTACAACTTACCTCAAATTATTCATAACAAAGGGCATGAACTCATACACAAGCTCAGGGCGGGGTAACGTTGGGGACAACAGACAGCAATGCGTTGGACGACCTGATGTCCTTCAACGTGTTGACCTGCGAAAAACCTCGCTTCAAGACAACAAGCTAGGGCTGCAGATACAAGTACAAAGCATACGGGTTCGGACTCGTTCGATTTTTCCATCTTGGTGTACATGCGGTGAGCATCGAAAAATAAAACACACACAAGTCTGCCCGACCGCGTACGTAAACCGGTCCTTCGTCACACGCTGGTGCAGCAGCAACTAACTCGAGCGAGAGGAGAGAGACATTGAACGTCGAAACGAATAGTGTTACGAACTGCGCTAAGTGCTACTGTTGTGGGCCACTAGAGTCCGCTCAACGCAAGCACGCACGCAGGCACTCCTTTGCCGTAAAGCCGATGTCGGTGAAATCCGGCAGGTGCCCCCAAAGCAGGTCCGCCACCACGAAGCCCGTCAGGCTTTGCGTCAGGCTCCGCCCCTGCAGGTTTTCGTACGTCCTCGTGCGAAGGGTACCGATGATGCTCGCGTAGGTGGAGGGACGCCCGACCCCCTTCGCCTCGAGCTCCTTGATGAAGCTGGCCTCAGAAAACCGAGCGAGGTTGGGGGTAGGGGCGACGGGAAATCTCAAGTAAGAAACACAAGAAGTGGAGGTCTGTGTAACCGAGAAGGGGTTCAAGGGGGGGGGGGTGTCGTGGGAGTTCCTTGGTATGAACCTTCGGTGACACCAGCCGACGACGAGCGAAACAACAACATCCACCAACAGGACAAGAACAAAGAACAGCAGCACCAGCATCACCGGCAGCAGCAGCAGCAGCAGCAGCAGCAGCAGCAGCAGCAGCAACAAATGAAAAAAAAAGAAGGCGGCAGCGACGACGATTTCTTCAGCTATACCCGGCCGTTGCCTGTCTAGGTTACGCCAGCCTACCACGGGGCCCGCCTTGTCTTATCTTGTGGTGCGCATTCCCTAACCTGCCTTGTAGGGGGTGACGTGACGTACTGTGTGCCGCTGGCATAGCATCCTCGCACACCACTTTCCTTCCCTCCACCAACAACGGTAGCTCGGTCTCTTGGTCATCCCCTACACAAGTGGTACAGCCGTGTTGCGACACCCGCCAGTGGGAAGGGGGGGGGCGGGGGGCGTACTCTTTTGTTGTGCATGCCTTAGCGGTTACACCATTGACCACGCGTCCTCGAGAGGACGGAGCATTGTTCCCACAGGACCGATCACCGATGGCCAATCGTTCCTTTCTACTTTGCCAAAGGTGGCTCAAAAATGTCTTCCCTAGTCTGTCTATCCTAACGATATCCCTTCCCGCCTTTTCAACCCACCTCCTATGCCCCAGTACAGCTACCGTCCTTTCCTCTCTATTCCATGCCTCAAACATCTCCCTGTACGTTCCATCTACTTTTCCCAGCTCAGTCACGTACACTTCCCTCTCCTTGTACAACGGACATTCCACGACTACATGAACACGGTCTTCGCATTCGAAGCCGCAATCACGTTTGAACTCGTCGTCTTCGTCGTCTACCGTCCTATGTGTTCGTCGACGTTCTCGAAGGCCTATGTCCCCGGTCCTGAATTTGTGTTCGATGCCGCCGTGGCGGTAGGAGCGGGCTCATGCCTGCATGATGATCCGCCAAAGGCTCTACCAAGAGGGTTGACGCGCGATCAGGGCGTCGAAGCTGCGAAGGAGCACCCTGGGCTCTGTGGAGTCTATCTGGCTGGGGTTAGTTACGACGATGTGGTCGCTACTGCGGAGAGGCGTGGCGTGAGCGTCACCTTCAACGTTTTTCGCAACCAGCTACGTGCTGTAGTACTGCTGTAGGATATGAGTACAGCAGGTCTACTGCCCCGTTCTGCTTGTAGGCTTTAGGTTTAGGTTGTCAAATGTAGACATGCCCTCGGTGTCCGTAGCAGGCGTGCCCGTTTCTGGCGAGGCTGATGACCCAACCGTGGAAGCGTGTACCATTCGTTGATTGAAGCCCTAAAGCAGTGGGACGGTGGCGCTCGTCACACCCAACACTACTGCTGTATCTTATCTACTTCTACGTATCTCGTTGCCTCGACATTCAACCGACTACACTGACTGCTGTTCGCCCTCCCGTCGATTTACGGCTGTTGCATGTTTGTAGAACAATCAGTTCGGGCCCAGGATACAGCTTGTGTCGAACGTGTTACACATCATAATTTGACACGATGTAGCTTGGTAAATCATGTTTTGCACCCGATCACACGAACAATCTTTCTGCTCTTCTGGTCCAAGAACAGCGGCTGCTCTTTTTGTTTTCTTGGAGGGGCCATCCTGCCCTGTTCTTGCGATATGATGGGTTGGACCACGTGTGCTGACATGTGGATGGAGAAGGTACGGTGCAAACTGACTTCTCTCACGTCCCTGTTTCTCCTTCCTAGCACGCACTCATGCCCACACAGTGTTGCTTCGACGCCGCCAAAAAGCTTCGTGCGGATGGCATGGGCGTCCAACTCGCTCGGAAGGAGTGTTTCACTCAAGCGTTCCGGGCTGTTTTTCCCGGGAATGGCACGCCAGACCAATGGGTGGAAACGGCATTAAGCACTGAAAACGCGTGATGGTCAGACGACCTGGCGCGAGAGGGATGATGGTGGATGCCGCGGTTCGGAATGTAGGAGAGAGCTGTGTGGCGCCTGCAGGGGTGATGACTGCCGTGCCTAGGAATGTATTAGATCACCGTGCAGTTGGATTTGGCATTTGCCTGGTAAGGGCCACCTTGCTTGTGTCCCGCGCCGCCGGGAGGGGGGCACGGGAGGGGGAGAGAGGTGTCTACTTTTGTTCGTGATGCATGAGGTATTAGGAGGGCAACAATTCCAGGGAGAGAAGCAACGTACCTGGTGCAGCAGTACTTGTTCTGACCTTGACGTAAGCGACTCCTCTAGGCGTGGCATATCAACATGGGGTGGCGCGTGGGAAAGGAACGTGATTGGAGTGTACAGGCAAGGGCCGAGTGTAAGCCGTTGTCAACGAGAGAGAGCAGCATACGTTTTGCGTAATGGTCCCTTTGGTGACCGTTGAGAGAAGAGAAGGGCACCGAAACCTGTTGTCCAAACACGGCTCGTTGTTCAGGCAGTAGTCCAAAAAAAAAGTTCTATGGTCCGTTCGGGCAAATGTTCACAATCTTGTTTTTCGCGATATCTTTCGAAAAAAAACGATTTGTAATGTGAAACAACTTTGGGCGTGACCGCGACGTCGAGCTTCGTCGATATCCGATGAGTTTTTGGTGATTGGGTGAAATTCGACATTTTTGACCAAGATGACCCACGGAGCCCCCACCCCCCCACCCCCTCATGACCCCACGGAGCCCCCAAAGTACACCACGACCCCCCCTCAACCCCTCCCTTCTACACGTATATGCCTTCAGAACATCAGTTAAACCGTTGTCAATCCATATTTACATTATTTACACGTTACATATGTACATACATACATACAATACCGCCGTTTACTTTCTACGCAACCCCTGGCTGGTGAAGGTGCTGCAAACAAAGCATGCAGCAATCACATCCGTTCTCTCTAAGCAAGTCCGATACCAAGAGCTCCTTCTCTCGCGGCGTGTTCTCCCGCCTTCTCTGCGCTTTGAGTGCTCGCTCTCGCGTTCGCTCTCGCGCTCGCTCTCGCGCTTCTCGCTCTCGCGCTCGTTGTTCCGGTGTCTTCTTCCTCTCCTCGCGCCTTCTGTGCTTCAATCGTTTTTTGTTCAACCCCGCAAACCTCCCCTTGGCTCCATCCCCCGACGCCACCCGTGTTCCTCGCCCAGGCCCACTGCATCGGCCGCGTGCCCCGTCTCGTGCGCGGGCGGGGTCGGCGTACAGCCCGTCGAAAAGGTTCGTCCTCGAACTTTTTCGGACGGTCTCACCACTTGTACCGCTAGAGGCTGCGTGCCCGGCTCCTCCCACAGCTGCTGTTTCGCCGGTGTCTCCCACAGCTTCTGCTTCGCCGGTGTCCTGAGGCTGAACATCATCATCAGCCTTGTCGCCGCTCTCTCCGTCAAGTTCGCCGGGGCCGCGAGAGCGGTCGCGGCTTGCGTCTAGTGCGTCGAGAAAACTGTCCTCGCCGCTGGAATAAAGAAGCTCTGCAGCTCTAGCCTGGTCATCCTCACCAAACCAATCTTCCAGCGGAACACCAACACCCGAACATACCAGCATGTCGGTCTCGCTCTCGCTGCTGTCGCCACGGCTGGTGCGGTCATGTTCTTCTTGCGGGCTGCAGATCTTCTCGGCATCATGACCACTGCTGTCCGCACCAACATCTCCCACCTCAACATCCATCTCCACCGCACCTTCAGTCTCCATAATTTGAGGCGAACCATGCTGCCCTTCCTGCTGCTGAGCTGGGGGCTTCAGCCATGCTGCCAAGCTCCCCGCCATCCCGGCGTCCTCCTTGCTCCACCGCGCTCGCCTGTGGCGATGCTGCGTCGACCGGTGGAGAGGTTGCACCGCGTTTTTTCGCGCAGGCGGCGCGACTTCGGGCGCCACCGCCATTGCTGTGCGAGCTGCTGCAGACACCGCAGCGCTCGCTGCAGAGCGAACCGCAGAACCGAACGGCAGTTTCGCCTGCCCGCGACCTGGCTCGCCACCCGCATCCTCATCGCGCCAGTCGTCGTCGTGGTCGTTGGTGTGCATGGGAGAAATATTGGCGCCTTCATGGTCGGAAGAGGGAGGAGAGTCGTTGCCTACAGCAGGGTCCGCAGGGGGCGAAGGGGCCTTCCGAATCGTGCCGTCGGCGTTCCTTGGCAGCTTGCGCTTACCCTTTGGGCGACCCATGTGCCCGGAGCGCGTGTGCGTCTTTCGTTGCGTGCGTAAAGGGTGTGTGTGTGTGTGTGTCTGTGTGTGTCCTCTGGTGTGTGTGTGGCGGGAAAAAATTCCCCGAGGGCGTGTGAAACCACCCGAAATATCTCCGAAACCCGAGTTTTCTTTTTATATCGGAAAAAAATCATCGGTGGGAAATCACGAGAGGAATGGATTGCAGCACTTTATTTTTGAATCGTACGGTTGGATTGTCCCCAAAAAACTAAGCAAAATACCCTCCAATATCCGTTTTTTTGCCCATAACTCCGTTATTTTTTGTCAAATTGGAAATCGGAAAAAAATCATCGGTGGCAAATCACGAGAGCTGTCCAAATCCGGTCTCAGATTTTGTGTCTGCAAAAAACACCGCCCTCCAGAAAGTAAGCAAGATTTCTTGAATATCTGAACATATGGAGCGAAGGACGAAAAAAAAAAATCTCCGTACGAAGATGCGCCTTGAAACGGCGATTTACGCGGTATTTTCAGATTTCGGAATAAGTACCCCCACCCCGAGAAAAGTGCACTTTTGTGCAGGGGAAAATATTGTGAATATTTGCCCGAACGGACCATATGTGTCAGCATGGTCAGGATGTGAGCCACGGTATCTAAGCACATAATCACGAGCGTATAATCAACCTCTGGACATACATGGTGGCAAGCATCTCAAAACCAGACGCATGTCATGCCCACCCCGCCTACCTGCACTCCTTTGGTAGAACGTGCTTCGGGCTGAGGTGGACTGTGGACAGGAATTTGACGACCTTGGAATCCTTCCACTGCACGAACACCAAGAATCCGAACCTCGCGAGCACCATTTCGCCCTTCTTCCGGACATACTGTCTCGTGGCAGTCCAGTACTNTGTGTCAGCATGGTCAGGATGTGAGCCACGGTATCTAAGCACATAATCACGAGCGTATAATCAACCTCTGGACATACATGGTGGCAAGCATCTCAAAACCAGACGCATGTCATGCCCACCCCGCCTACCTGCACTCCTTTGGTAGAACGTGCTTCGGGCTGAGGTGGACTGTGGACAGGAATTTGACGACCTTGGAATCCTTCCACTGCACGAACACCAAGAATCCGAACCTCGCGAGCACCATTTCGCCCTTCTTCCGGACATACTGTCTCGTGGCAGTCCAGTACTGCATGGCCCCCTTCGCTCCACGGTGTGTGTCCGTCAGAGTCCCGACGGCAAAAATCCCGTGCCACAACAGGCACATGAAAAGGATTATGGAAAAAATACGGTGGTAACAGGGGAGGGAACAGGGGTATCAGGTCTGCAGGCTTGAAGCGCACAAGGGTAAAGGGG